TTTTTTAGATAATAATTTAAATTTAATCTATTACAAAATTGTTCAAAAAAACTCAATAACAAAAGAAAAAATCTTGAAAATTAAAAAAAAAAAATTGAACTGTCCATTTTTACCCACTGACATAAACTTTAAATTAAAATCGTTTACCTAACTCGCGTGTTCAAATTTTACGAATTTTTTTTAATTAATATATAAATAATTTTAAGATATTAAAAAAAATTATCTATTTTTTGTGTTCCCAAACTTTTCTTTCTCTTTTCCTTGAAGATATCGGAGTTCGGGTCAAAAATATACAAAAACAAAATTTCAAAAGAATTCATTAAATATGAATAGACTTGAAGAGGAAGGTACCAGTACGACTAGTAAAATTGAGGCAGTCCAACCGTACATGTCACACCACGGTGCAATGCACTTCTCCATATGTACGGACCGCCATTTATTATTATTATTTAAAAATAATAAAATCCCTGTCAAGATCTGGGCAACAATTAATTTCTTATTTCTATCTTTCAGACTGGCCCACAAACAGGTTGACTTGGCCGACTAAGTTAAGCCCATATGACAAGTGGGCTCGCCCTTCATCGTTCTTGATTGTATTATCTGGTGTCATCATCATGGTGCCTTATGCCTTGGGTTACGGGATTCTTGTTCAACACTGCTCAGTTTGCTCAGTATATCTTTACCCAAATCTCCTCTTCAATCTTACCCATATCTCTATTTTTTATGGAAAATCTTAATATTTTATAATTTTTTAAAATAAAAAATTATTTTATAATTTAAATTATATTAAATCATAAAATATAAACATTTAAATAAAAATAAATCTTTAGATATTAAAATCTTCATTCCATTTAAAAGTTTTTATTTTATTTTTATAATATTAACTTATTGATATTTAGTAATTACATTAAATTTTAATTAATTCGTAATTAAATCATATCGAACCTTATAAGAAATTTTTTTTTTTAATATTTATTTTTTCATTCATAAAACTCAAATTCAAAATTTTATTTAGAATGAGACGAATTCTTTTATTCAGATTAATAAATTATTGATAGAAATTTTTATTTTATAATTTGATATAATTTTAACTATAAACTATTAGACTCTTTCTTAGAAGAGACTTTATTTTGAAAA